TCATATTTAATTGCATCAAAACAGTTAGAAAAAACTAACAATACCCTATTTATTCAACAATCTCTAGCAGAATTTTTTTTACCAAATCAAATTCCCTCAGAGAAGTTCTTAATGTTTTTGTCTGACGCAGCACCATATATGATAAAAGTAGGGCAAATATGGTCCACGTTACTTGTCTTCTGCATGGAATAAACTTAGTTGCAGAAACTGTGAGAACAGAATATCCATTGGTTAACAAGCTAATTTAGAATGTGAAAAAAATATTTTTAAAAGCCCCTTTAAGAGTGCAGTTGTATAAAGAGAGAATGGTAGGGGTGTGTTTGCCCCCGGAACCCGTAATTACGCGATGGGGGACATGGATTAAAGCAGCTATATTCTATGCAGACAATTTTGAAGCAATTAAGGATTTAATTTTGGATATAGAAGACAATTCACAATGTGTAGTGCAAAGTAAAGAATTGTTAAAAAATCCCCTTGTGCATAAGCAACTTGTGTTTATAAAGGTTAATTTTATTTTTTTACCTGATGTAATAACTTCATTGAAAAAGAAAAATTTAAGTTTAATCGAATCAACAAATTTTATTACAACAGTTTCCGATAAATGTAACAATGTTCCTGGTGACATAGGCCTTAAGATTAGAAAAAAATTAAATACAACTTTATTAAAGAATGAAGGGTTCAATGAAATAAGGGAAGTGAAAAACATTTTTGAGGGAAAATTTTCCAAAGAAGTTTTACGTTGGCCCTGTACATTACTTCCAAAATTACGGTATTGTCCTATTACTTCGGTAGATGTTGAAAGGACCTTTTCTATATCAAAACATATTTTTACAGACAGAAGACAAAAATTTTTAATAGAAAATTTCGAAAAATATTTTTTCTACACCCGTATTATAATAATGCACTTATATGCCCATAATCCGTTTCATAATGATACCCATTATGATACAGATTTTTCATTACGATACAGATTTTTAATCAATAGAAACCTACAATTTTTCAATCAAGCATGCTGTTTGACATTTGTCCTAGGTTCCTATGTAATTATTTTAGTTGTCAAAACGTATTAAATTTTCGTAGGTAGCTAAACTTCGATAATTATAATATTAAAATGTCTGATATTAGCGATATAGAAGACTCCTCCACACATATCGGAGAAAGCAGAAAATACAGTACAAAATATTTTACCGCAAAAATCTAGGGAAATACCAATACCTGAAGTAATACCATTAATTACAATTTTGTAGAATTTTTTATAGAAATACGAGTAATTACTGTTATTGTGTTCAATACCAATATAAATATAATATTTATAGGTCTTGATTATTTATCGGGTGTAGAAAAAATAGCGTATGCAACTCTCATGTAATGGTTATTACATGATCGTTGCATAATATACTATAATTATAAATTCCTATTATATTACTATTTAATATTTTTATACTATTCTATACTTAACTTCTACTAGTTTTTGTGTTTCGTTTGTTTTAAATAAATTTTTATATTACATATTTTCTTTTGTTTTTTTTTTTTCATGTAATGGCTTTGATAGCGTACCAAATTAGGAACAGCAATGTTAATTAGAACCCAACAGTGAATGGTCAAGTGGAAATATTCGCTAGGCATCAGAATTAATTTTTAAATAAATTAATTAATTTAAAAAATCGCGTCCCGGCTGGGATTTGAACCCGGGACCCCTAAGTTCACAGGCCAACGCACTAACCACTGAGCTACCCACCCCCTACTATCGATTGGATAGGTGTTAAAACTTGACAATATTTTTATTTAGATGAAACTATGGAAACCAACAATAAATGTTTTTGTATACGTATTGCAGGCAAATAATTAATATTCCTCAAAAAATTGTACATGGCAAGAATCGAGTATTTTTGTTAAAAGTCTCGATTAGAGATGTTGAAGAAGATATGAAAAAAGTACATTTTTATGTTTTTCATCGTATAAAATTTTGTCCGATAATAATACATAGGCGTAGAACTTGATTTTTTAAATAATTGCACCTTTAAAAATTCTACGCTAATGGCAAAAAAGGGGTTTGAGTATGAAATTTGGATTGGGTACTCATTTACTACAAAACAGTACACTTGATAACCCTCGATTTACTCTCATGGTTTTGACAAATTTTGTATTTTAATAATTATTGTTTATGTTCTAAAATTACTAAAATGCAAATTTCGTCAAAACCATGAGAGTAATCGAGTCTTATCAAGAGTACCTTTTTTTAAGTAAATGAGTTGCGCAATCTAAATTTCATACTCAAACTCCTTTTCTTCCATTGGCGTAGAATTTTTAAAGGTGCAATTATTTAAAAAATCAAGTTCTACGCCTATGTATTATTATCGGACAAAATTTTAATACCATTTTTTTTGCCACATAAAACTCTACCAATATACCAAATTTTAGCAAAATCGCATATGCCGTTTTAAATTTATATGGGAAAAACGATTTAAAAATTGTAACTTCAAGGCCCTCTGGAGCCCAAACGAAGCAACTTTGTACTAAAGTAATTTTACTTAAATCGACTTATTTTGGTCTAAGGAATATGTGGTATGTTTTTGTAAAGACCTTTTACAGACACCCTGTATATGTATACATCTCGGTATACATATCATATCAAAGTCACTCGAATTTGTAGTTCGCAGAACTTTATCCTTAACGACGGTGTTGGCATTCAATTTGGAAGGAAGGCATGCATAACTAGGGATGTCGCCATTTATATTCAAATTTTCGTACATGACGTGTAAACAGATATCCGATGTCCAGGACCAGAGGAATATATTAATCTTGATTCCGTGCCAGGGAGATTTATCGACGGACAGGTTAACATCTTGCATACTCCCAGAATATCCCGCTCATGGATATTCAGTGGCCAAAACCAGGAATATTACCGTAGACAATGTAAGGATTTTTCTCTACCCCTTGAGAAAATACGCTCATAAATGGTATCCCCACGGTCAGTTACTTGGGCGCCAGATAATTTGAAGCGGTTTACTTCTCTAATTCTAGATATTCCTTTAAAAATACTCGAGCAGCTTCAGCTGAAGATGAAAAATATCAGAGATCATGTTGATTTTAGGGGTTTAAGGGTTCAAACAATGGGCACAGAATGAGCTTTAAACGAGGTACATAATTTTTCACAGGCTGACAAATAGATTAAAGTCAAAACCGGACATATTTAATATTCGCAGTAAGAGGTCTGTTCCAACAACTATCAGAAACCTGTCACTGACACCAGGATTCTGTCCAGAAGATTATTGTGATTGTCAAATTAATTACTGCGTAGAATCCTGGTGTTAGTGACTGGTTTGTGATCGTTGGAACAGGCAAAAAGAGAGTTATTCAGAAAGCTGGCAAGCGTTATACTCTAAAGTAATCGCCTATATTTAAGGAAAAGGAGATTATACTTAAAGAGTTAGGACTTAAGAATTAGGAGGTAAATAAGGTAACCAATTACGTCATTCAAGATGCCACCGGTAATTTCTTGCTTCACTTTTTGAAGTGCCACTCTGGCTTCTCCTCTTCTACAATTCCACCTTCGCAATTTCAACAGCCTCTGTGGTTTATTTCGAAACCTGCCACTTACTTTGTCTACTTTAATTTGGGTAGATCACCGATTCAAGTTGAGAAATACCATACTCTTGGGGATTCCACTATCTCATCTTCACGTCTATATTAATTAATGGTTTTTATTATATGGTTATATTTCAATTTGAAAATCATTCGTTAATATATTCGAAGAGGTATTTAAATCTAAAGGGTTTTTTATTCCATTAGTTCGCGTAACAATATTCTAAGAGCCTGGTTTCTAAAATAATTGCCTAAAACATTTTGTTCATTTTCGTTAGAACAAGTCATTAATAAGGTTATTTGGAGATTTAAAAGTTGCTGCATTTTATTGAAGAATTGGAACGGAGAATCGTTACCCTGTTGTAATGTGAAATTTCTAAGCTTAAGGTATACATGTCTCTTTTATCTGCATATGTATTCAATAAAGCAGCTTTTAAATTTTCCCAATTTCTTATCGTACAAAACGATATATTTTTGGCAGCTTCGCCTTTTACTTTCGCTAAAATACCAGGCAATAAATACTCATTTTGAAAATCTACAGTATTGTAAAATTTCCTAATTTTTCGCTTACTTCTATAAATCTAGGAAGTAAGACGGGATCACCATAGAAATCTGGGATCATACCTAAATATTCATCTTTTAATTCTGGAATTTTTGGAGCCATTTTAAATTTATTATTTGAAGTTAAAATATTTGAAATGTCTAAATTTGTTTTGTTTAAATTTGAGTCAGAATCTGTATCTGAATTAGAATTGTCTGAACTTTCAGAATTGATAATTAAAGGTTACTCTCTAAACGACATATAAAACACAGTAAAAGTAGTTTCCACTCCATCTATTTGAATTCCGTCGTGAACCAAGGACTGGACCGGGTAGACTCTTCAATTTTCACTTGAATGTCTTTCTTAACTCAAATAGTGTTTTTCACGTTAGGCTACTCAATTGACCCAACTGAAAAACTTCTTAAACACGTTTTAAAGTTCAAAATGGTCAGAAAATCTTAGAAACGAACCAGGAATTATGTGCACTAAACTCGTTTGACCATTCTACTGACTGCGCCACTTAACTAAGTACACTCTCTATTTAGTTTAAAAAGATTTGTTTTATTTAAATACAACTTTATTAATCAAGAACAGATTCTAAACTGAATATAATGAAAGGAAATATAATACAACCAGAGGCATTACACCTAAAGTGGAATGACACAAACTAATCTAATGTGATGGAATCTAATGTAATAGTCAGCAGTTCCAAGGTTCATCCACGAGGTTGCCGACTTAGGGTTATTAACTTGTATTTTATTATTTATTTTATTCTATTACTTGGTATCATAATAATAAATATTTTCTTAGCCCATAGCGCAAAACAACAATTCTAAGATTATTTTGTTATGTAATATGTTTGATTTGAACTTACCTAAAGGAAATTTTATTATTGAGTAGTTTAACCGGAGCAGCTGCTTTGGAAGTAACTATCGACAAAGGACCCTTCGTCGGACCGGAAATTGACGTTCTTCCGGTGAGGGCGTTCAACAAGGGCGTCATTTGTTGGTTTTGTGAAGGCGCTAAAAATAAAATATAGATATCGTAATTTTAGTTTTTCTACTCCTATAAGTTATTAATTAAATACTAATTTCATAATGATACTCATTATAACACTGGTTTTCATTATGAAACTGAAAAATTTACCAATTGAAATCTAGATTTTTAAATAACCAAGTAGGCAGACCCAATATTTTCTGTAGAATGTTTGACAGTTTCTAAGAGATTCGTATTTTATGCCAGTTTTAATCCTTTGCGTCAGTCAAAAAGTTAGATAGATACCTCACTTATTTTTAAAAAATGTCGAGCGACGAAGAGTTTTCGTGCACACCACCTGAAATCGCTGAAAAGGCGAAAAATGTATCGTCATAGTTATTATATTTATGATAGAGTTTTATAATGTCCATATGGAGCTAGAGTGCTGACTGTGGAAGAAGGAATATGCAGTAGAGAAATAACTTTTGGAAAAAGGACAATACCATTAAGGAGAACCACAACTAGTATTTTCAAATTCAGGGCTATCTGCACATAACACAAATGGAATTTTACATTTTGTGCATTTGGACTCTTCGAGGAATAAAAGTGGATAAAATTTTTCATAATGACAGCTGTTGGGAAGAAAATATGCAAAATAAAATTCAAAATTTGTATATTCAATATGCCTTACCAGAACTAAAATGAAAAGTTTCTGCAACTGAACCCTCTTTTACAATTTCTAGTTGCATGGAAGTAACAAGGGACTGTCTTCGCCGTAACCTGGACACTGGATGAATGGCTGAAGACCAGTATTTCGACTTCGGTATCTTGAAAGATTACTTTCAACATGTTCCTAATGATCCTCCAATCCAGCTGATTTCCTTCTATCTTGGACATGGCTAGTTTCTGTACATTGGACTCTCGTACGTGCTCTATTAGACTAAGTAATGCATCCCATACATCATGATAAGTGTATCGATCTCGGAAGATGTTCTTCGTTATCAAACAGAAAAGGTAGCGCGATTCGTCTTGAAGTTTCAAGGCTTTTCCAGGGGCTGGTAACTGACGTTGAAGTTCTAGTAGTCCACTAAACTTCTTATGGAACACATATGCCAGTCGTCGCGCATCGTTGATGCTGGCGGAAGTACTATGGACCAGCGAGTAGTCTTTTGGAAGCGAGAGCAGATTTTGTTGTTGCTCTTTAAAGACAAGGTCAGGTGTTTCTTGGAGCTGGTTTACTTCTTCTTTCTCGTCATGGTCACCCTCAAATTGCGCCAGCCGGTTTTGATGTACTACCTTCGGTTTACCGTTCGGGATCTTACTTATACGGAGAATAACCTTCCTGTCTTTTGGGTTATGGAGCCAGACTTTTTCGCCTTCCTTGAAACGTCCCTCTGTAACTTGGGTATCGTACCGTTTCTTCATCCTGTCGCCTGGCGATTTGAAGATACGAGCAGACCAATTCATGCATATCGTCCATTCTTCTTCGTAACTGGATCGCATAATCTTCACTAGCTACATCTTCTTCAGGTCGGCATTCAAACTCGAGGCCGTACGGTAATCTCATCTCACGCCAAAACAGGACCTTTGCTGGTGTTTGGCCTGTTGATTCATTGACAGCGGATCTATAAGCCATTACAAAGAGCAAAAGATATTGATCCCAATCTCGCTGATGGTTTGAAACCACTTTGGACAGATATTTGCCAATGGTCTTATTTATTCGCTCTACCATTCCATCGGATTGTGGGTGCAATGCTATGGTTCTGGTTTTCTTCATGCCTAGTCTGTCTCAGATTCCGCGGAAAAGTTGACTTTCAAAATTTCTGCCTTGGTTACTGTAGGGCACATCTGCAACAGTTGCGGTCTCTTGATTTGGAATGGCATAGACTTTGTAAAATAATCCATAACCACCAAAATTTATTTGTGACGCAGTAATTTCGTTCAGATTTGGAGAGCACTTTGCTAAAATAATCTAGTTCTCTTTCTTTCCCTTCCTGAATCTGTGAAAGCACTCCTCCAATTCCCACATTACTAGCATCAGTATCCAGGATACATTCTCTCTCTGGTAGTGGATAGCCTAATATTGGTTTTGTTGTTAAATGCTTCTTTCATGTTGCAAAGGCAGTTTGCCAGTCCCAGAAGAATTCCGTCGCTTCTTCTGTGAGTCATGTTAATGGCTTAGCAATATCTGCAAACGTCCTAATGAATCTTCGATAGTACGTACACAGCCCAAGAAAACTTCTTATTTGATGTTTATCAGTTGGTTGTGGCCACTCTTTAATAGAAGCGACTTTTTACTTATCTACAGCCACGCCATCAATACTGACTATATGACCCAGGTAATTGACTTTATTTTGGAATAGCTGGCCTTTCTTGGGGTTAAGCATCAGTTGGACAGCTTGAAGTCTTTTAAAAACATCTTCTAAGTTCTTTAGGTGTTCATCAAATGTCTTCCCCAAGACTATGATATCGTCTAAATACACCAGGCATGTTTTCCAGGATAACCCCCTCAATACGTTTTCCATAAGTCTTTCAAATCTCGTGGGGGCATTACATAATCCAAATGGCATAACAATAAATTGCCACAATCCAGATCCGGTGGTTAAAGCTGTCATTTTTTGTTTACTGGGTTCATTTCCACTTGCCAATATCCAGACTTCAAGTCTAAGGTAGAGAATAGTTTACTTCCGGCCAATATGTCCAAGGTATTCTCGATACGAGGCATAGGGTAACTGTCTTTCTTGGTAACATTGTTCAACTGACGGTAATCCACAGAGAACCTCGCAGTTCCATCCTTTTTCTGAACCATGGATTACCGGAGAGACACATGGGCTGGTAAAAGGTTCTATCACCCTCTCTTCCTTCATTTCCTGAACAATCCTCTCAGCTTCCTCTCTCTTGGCCTTTGGTAATCTTCGAGCTGAATGACGAATCGGCCTGGCATCACCAGTGTCAATTTTGTGTTTTACGACAAAAGTTCTTCCTGTTTTTCCTCCTTTTGGTACAAAAATGTCACGATATCGTCGAAGAAATTCCTTTATTTTTTTCTCTAATTGATTCAGAGATTAACCAGCAACTGCAATCATTTGCTCGAATTTGTTGTTGGAATTATTAGACGTTGTTGTCTGACGAATTATGGAAGTTACTGGTATACAAGTTCCGATTCTGGTCTCTTTCTTGATGGTAATCGGGTGATCATTAACGTTTATAAGACGAAATGGAATCTCTTTAGCAGTCGTGACCAATCCCTTTCCGATCAGAATTCCTCGTCCTACCTCTTCATCGTGGTTCCTAGGTTCCATCATGACAGGTATTCCTTTTTCCATAGTTTCTTGTAGCCGTGCTACTATAACGGTTTCACTTCTGTCAGGTACCACCGCATCCTCCTGTACAGCAACTGGCACGGTACTGTCTCCATATGGATGTAGGAAAACCTCTTGGGCACCAACTTTGATCACTCTGTTCCTAAAGTCTAACTAAAAACCATGTAAGTTCATTACATCCATTCCAAGTATAACATCTTCTTCGATATCAGCGACAATAACAGTATGAGTGAACCTTTCTGTACCAATTCCCAATTAAACCTGGATTTCTCCATGGATGTTGGCACTTTCACCTGTAGCAGTCCGTAGTCGCAATCGTGTTGGTAGAAGTCTCTTACGGTTATTTATGGTTGTTGGTCGTATAATGGTCCTAGTTGCTCCAGTGTCCACCAACAGTGTATACTTTTTACCTGTTACTTCGCCATCTACGTATGCACTATTATCGTGACATTTCGAAGAGGCTATCAAATAGAGAGGGTCTTTGGAACGGTTTCGGGTCGAAGCAGCCCTCTCTAGGCCGACCCGCTCTAGTTTTCCTGAGGCGTGTTGTCCTGATTCTTTGTGACCCTTGGACGTTTGCATGAACTGCGTACATGTCTTAGTTCACCATAATTCCAGCACCTGATAGTCTTCGTCTTCATCTTCCTGTCAGTGAGGTTTTTCATCCTGTTTACCAGTTGATCGAGTTTATCTTCTTCTTCTTCTTCTTTTTCTTCTTCTTCTTCTTCTTCTTCTTCTTCTTCTTCTTCTTCTTCTTCTTCTTCTTTTACAGTCCTTACTTAACTGTACCCACCAGAAGCCTGCGTAGCTGCTTTATATTCTAAAGCAGAGGGCAAAACATCGACGAATGTTTTGTGGCAAGCTAAGCGAAGTGTTTTCTGCATCTCGTGGTCACGGAGTCCATCAACAAATGTTTGGACTGCTAAAGATTCCATCATGTTTTCTGGAGATGATGGGTGAGCAAATCGCACCAACCTGGCAATATCTACTTCATATTCTTGAAGGGTTTCGTCTCGTTTCTGTTTACGATTCTTTAACTATGACTGGTATAAATGCTCCAAATGTTTGTGGCCATATCACATGTTGAGTCTCTTTTTTAGTTGTTCAAAATCATCGGTCTCTTCCACAGATATAGTTTGAAGGATTATCTAAAGCGTCTCCTCGAAGAGCGATGGTCAAATTTATTGCCTTTTCTCGTTCAGAATATTCGTTTGCTCTGGCAGCTGTTTCGAACTGCTTAAGGTAGTTCGTCCATGACATCTTTCCATCAAAAGTTGGGCTTTAAAACGAGCAGAATTTACAGCTCCTTCCAAATTCAACTTGGCACTTTATTTCACCGTTCTTGGTTTGGTCTACGTGTTCCATTTCTTCTATCTTATTTTATATTTCTTTTATTTTCTTCGTCTAAATAAGAAATATTATACGAAAATTTATTTTCCATAAAAGACATTTTGCTTTCCAAGTCAAAACAAATTTCGGTTTTTAAAGAAGATATGTCAGAAGATACCTCTTCTTCTAAGGAAGAAACTTTACTATCTAAGGAAGTTATTTCTGAAGAAACTTTAGTTTTAATGAGGAAATGTTAGAAGAAATATCGGTTTTCATAGAGGTCATATCAGAAGACATTTCGAATTTTAAGGAAAAAATCCCACTTTCTACGGAAGAAATTGAAGAAATTATTGCAAAAGATGCATCATCCGAAAATAGATACATTTCCGGATCCAAACCCTCATCTCCAAATCACGATCTTCTAGTTCTCGACGCAGCTCAGGCACTTTTTAAATCATACAGTTTTTTAGCCATTATTGTCTACTATTTATTTACAATAATTCACTTCTCGACACCAATGTAATGTTTGTTTATTTTAAACAACAGTTTATTTGTTAATAATTTATTTAAACACTTATTTATTTTAAACAATACTATCCATTAATTTAGTTTTTGGCCATTTTAACAATGCTGCCGATCCTGTATCGAGTTCGAAATTGGTTAGCTTCGATTCATTTAGAATTAATGATGAATTTTTCGGTTTGCATGTCCCCACTTACTGTTCTATTTCAGTTGTTCCGTCGATGTAAAATTTTGAATTAAAGTACAACCGGAAAAAACTCGTTTCGTGCTTTATTTATTTTCTTTGAATATATCCGTGTATTAAATTGCGTTTATAACCGATAAAACATTTTTATTTTTGCGTTTGTAAAGAGGATTAAAAAAAAATCGTTTTACCGCAATATATAGAATTCAGTTTTGAATATTTTATATCTAATAATTTTTACGGCGTTTAAATTTTAAGTTTGTTTCTATATTTTGTTATTTGCGATTGTAGTTACAAATTTTTACCTTTTCCCAAGCTCATTCCACTGAACAGCTGCCCCGTGACGCTTTTAGTCGATGATGTCACGGGTTTAGCTCCAGCTTTCGCTTTATCCTCCTTGGCTTTGAGCATCAGGATCCGCTGAAGAAGAGGCAAACCGGCTCCTATCGTTTCATCGCTGATCGGAGGTGGTGAACGTAGCATGGAAGACGTTGGCGACAACATTGTAGGCGATGAGACACGTTTTCCTCTTTCTTCGTTATCCTGCTTCTCTTTGAGCAATCTACAGAGGGAACACATAGAGTTAAACCGCTGGAATAGAATTTAAACGTTGTTGTCCATGCATTAGAAACGAAATGTAACCTAACATTGATCCTTGTGGTAGTCCACGTGAGTGAGGGAAATTTAACTTAAACTGAACAGATCTTATAAATGACGGTGTATCGAATTTTTTTGGCCTTTAAACAAATTGAAACTGGAATTTTCGTATCTTCATCTGAGGCTATCCCAATCCTTTTTGACGACGCATTAAAGAGGTTATGGGGCAAAACTTGGCTAAATTAGGCATTCCAAACTGAATGGCTACCAGTGGGTTCTGACGGGTTATGATATGGCAAAATTATGGCAACCCTGTAGGCCTCGTGATTTGACAAGGTCAATGAAATAGATAGTTACATAGATTGATAATCCATATTTGTCAAAATAAACATAAGCTTATGCCTTCAAGTAAAAATGTAAGCAATTATTTTTTTTTAAATATCTTAAGGCTAAAAATTAGTTTTAAAACACATTTTTGCTAAACCGATTCAAATTAATAAATATTTGCCAGGCAATATGGCCGCTCGTAAACGACCAGCCTTAAGCAATCTATATAACTATGTATGTATCATTGACCCTGTTAATGACAACATGACAACAGGGTTGCCATATCTAAATTGTCATTACCCACTGGTAGCCATTTGGACAGGTCGTTGGAATGCCTAATTGTCTAATTAGGCATTCCAAACTGAATGGCTACCAGTGGGTTTTGACAGGTTATTATATGGCAAAATTATGGCAACCCTGTAGGCCTGGTGATTTGACAAGGTCAATGAAATAGATAGTTACATAGATTGATCATCCATATTTGTCAAAATAAACATAAGCTTATGCCTTGAAGTAAAAATGTAAGCAATTATTTTTTTTTAAATATCTTAGGGCTAAAAATTGGTTTTAAAACACATTTTTGCTAAACCGATTCAAATTAATAAATTTTTGCCAGGCAATATGGCCGCTCGTAAACGACCAGCCTTGAGCAATCTATATAACTATATATGTATCATTGACCCTGTTAATGACAACATGACAACAGGGTTGCCATATCTAAACTGTCATTACCCACTGGTAGCCATTTGGACAGGTCGTTGGAATGCCTAATTGTCTAATAGTCAGTTGCAAAAACAATCGTTTGGTAGTCTGATGATTTTGACAGATATTTAGAATTATATAATTTGACGTTCATGTCATTTAAAGTTCAGTCGTGTATCGTGGTTTAGTTTAATTAAATTATGGTATCGTTAGCTGTTGATAGATTTAACTGGATGTAGGAAGTCAAAATGAGAATCGGTGACAACGCGAACAATCGTGCATGAACATTTTTAGAGAAACAACTGCTGAAAAATAATAAAATAGGTCGACATTACTTTAATCTTTGTAGAAGTGGAAGACCGGCACCTATGGGTGAAATGACCGGCTCGCAGGCACTAGTTTCCCTCCTTTCTCCCTCTTCCTGGCTAAGGTCGTGCGATTTCACCCTGGACATCCTCTTCAATGTCGCCTTGTTGTTGTGGTTGGGCGGATGGAGTGGTTGCAGTTCCAAGGACTCTTCGGATCTACGATGAGTTTTAGATTTCTTTAAAGCATTCCTTAGGCCCTTAAAATGTAATAACAAAATCTTAGATTTCTTAACAAAGAAAATTAAAAAAATCAATAGGAGTCAAATCTGGCAATATGGTGGACATTTCATGAAAAATTTACTAGACGTCAAATCTGGGAAGATATACCAAAATCCTAGATTTTTTGGCATATAAAATTAAAAAATCAATAGGAGTCAAAACTGGTGATATTGGTAGATATTTTATGAAAAAATCAATAGACTGCAAATCTGGAATGATAGGTCAAATTCTTTGATCTCTTAATTAACTAAAATTAAACAATCAATAAAAATAACATTTAAGGATAATAATGGACATTTTATAAAAAATCAATAGACGTAAATTTCTTAACAAATAATATTAAAAAAATGTATTAAAAGAAATAAACCCAAGAATAATTCGCAAAAAAGTCATTATAGGAGCAAATTCCCCAAAAGTTCTCTAAAAATATAGCATCCACCCAAAATTCCCACCAGGGTCAAAATTTCCACCCAAGGGGGAAATTTCCACTCAAACGGCAACACTGTCAGTTTTTAACGGCCAAACAGAAGGATACTGAGACTATTAAACAGTTCAGTATCCGTTTAAAAAATGTACCACTTGCTTGTGAATTAGGAACAATGAAGGAGAGCCTGGTCAAAGATGTTTTGGTTTGCGGCATTAAGTCAAATGAAATTCGTGAACGATTGCTACAAGATTTACAAGTGCAGAAAGAGCTATAAAATTAGCATTAATTATCGAAAGAACAAAGAACAAAATGAAATAATTTTAAATGAAAGAGAAACAGCATCTACAAATCTCAACATAGATAAAGTGAACTGGAGACCAAGAGGCGAAAGAAGAGAAGAAATAAAGAACACAAAGGAAAAACAACGTAGTAATAATAGAAGGCAGTGTGGAAAGTTTCATTCAGGTATGACTCCGGAAAGTGTCCAGCCTTTGGAAAAGTCTATGCAAAGTGTAGTGGTCAAAATCATTTTGCTTCGGCATGTAAAAACAGAAATCAAATCCCGAACAGTAGAAAGGTATATTGTGTAGAAAATGAAAGTGACAGTGGATACCTATATGTAGATATAATAGATAGTACAAACGTTGATGAGATATTATGGGCTCAGGAACTAAATGTAGAAGGTAAGGTAATTAATTTCAAATTAGACTCGGATTCAATGGCAAATGTAATCCCTATAGATATTCTAAGCAAAATTAATTTTGATACCAACAGATTAAAAAATAGCAAGGTAACTCTCAGCTCTTATACACATAATAAATTACCTATTGTTGGCGAATGCTTCTTGAGCTGCTCTCATAAGAATATTTAAGAAAAGTTACTTTTTCACGTTATTGATTTACAAACATGTCCAATACTAGGACTTAAAACTTGTATTGATTTTGAGCTCATCAGGAGGGTTGATTTAATAAGATATAAAAATAATACAGTAGAATACAAAAACACAGATATAAACAATTTACTTCGACTATATAATTCAATATTCAAAGGTTTAGGTTGTTTAGAGAAACCGTATCACATTGAATTAAAAAGAGAGGCTGAAACGGTTGTACATCCTCCAAGAAAGGTACCATTTGCAGTAAAAGAAAAATGTATAGTTACTCTAGACAATCTAATAAAACAAGGGGTCATAGAAAAAGCAGAAGATGGTGCAGACTGGGTGAATGCATACGTTTTAGTTAGGAAATCTAATGGTGATCCCAGACTGTGTCTGGACCCAAAAGATTTAAATCTGGCCATAAAAAGCCACTATTTCAATTACCTACATTTGAGGAGCTAACAGAAAAACTCACGGTAGCTAAAATATTTAGCACTTTAGATGCCACACAGGGCTTTCTGCAAGTTAAACTAGATGCAGACAGTTCGAGACTTTGCACTTTCGCCACACCATTCGGTAGGTATCGTTTTCTTAGAATGCCTTATGGGCTTGCTAGTGCACCAGAAGTGTATCAAGAGAAAATGGCAGAAATATTCAAAGATACAAAAGAGGTAAGTGTTTTTATTGACGATATTATTGTTTCGGGTTCTAATGAAGAAGAACATTTTAGTAGACTTAAAGAAGTTTTTAAAAGAGCACATAAACACAATATTCGCCTTAATAAATATAATTGTAAATTTTATTTACCTAAGGTTAAATATATGGGTTTTAAAATTACCTCTGAGGGACTGAAACCTGATGAGTCCAAAGTCAGTGCAATAAAAAATATGGGCATGGTGACATATCTGGGTAAATTTATAAGTAATCTTTCAGAAAAAACTGCACCTTTTAGATCAATAATAATAAGGAATACCATTTTTGAGTGGACAGAGTTTCAAATCAAAGCATTTAATGATCTGAAAACTCTTATGCAAGAATCCGTGTTTAAAGTTCTTTGATACAAACAAGATGGCCACTATTTCTGTGGACAGCTCAAAAAATGGAATGCATGCAGTTCTGCTGGCAAGAAGACATGCCCTGTGTTCATGCTTTTTGTTCTTTTACAGAATCTCAAACTAGATATGCCCAAATTGAGAAAGAGTTGCTGCAGTCTGGTTTGGTGTAAACAAATTTTCGCATTACGTATTTGGAAAAAACTTTTTAGTGGAAACAGACAACAAACCTTTGATAAGCATTATAAAAACAACTATTAAATTTATGCCCAGCCATATTGCAACGTATTCTCATTCAATTAAGGAAATATCAGTTTTAGTTAGTATATAAACCAGGCAAAAAAATAATTTTAGCTGATACGTTATCTAGAGCCTTTCAAAATAAAACTTTCAATGAAAATATAGACATAGAACTCAATGCTCAAGTGTGTTTAATAATAATAATAATAATAATAATACTCTCGCTAATTCACCCCCTTACGAGTGAATTTCAACCCCTAAAGTCGACTGAACGACTTGTGTAGGGGAAGGGACGGCTATTATTATTATTTGCCGTGGCGCTCCGGGGCGACTTAAAGATGATTGATGGTGCCATTTGACTTACAGGTGAGGAAAACCCGGAAAACCTCACCCACCATCATCGAGACGGTAATGCATGGCGATTTTTTAATCTGCATGTCATATCAACATAAATTGAATTTCTATTAATACGGCACACATCAAATCCTAAACCGAACCATGCAATTTAATTAAAAATCCACATGGTCTGGTCTGGGATTCGAAGCCCAGCAGTCTCAGACTCATAAACTTGCCTATAAATGAATATAAGCGCGTTAGACCGCTACACTACCGACCCGATTTAAGAAAATGTAAACCTATCTAAGAATAAAGAAAAATAGATTATAAATGCTACAATAAATGACCCAATTCTAACAATATTAAAAAAGCAAATTCAAGAGGGATGGCCAACAAAAATTAAACAAGTAGATGACAGACTTAAAGTCTATTTTAAATACAGAGCAGAGCTGATCTTAGTGGGCCAACTCATCTTTAAAGGACATACTTTAGTTGTCCCCGAAAAAATCAGAAAGGAGATTTTAAACAAAGTACACTATAGCCATATTGGTATTCGCAGAACTACTGCAGAAGCAAACTTGTCTTTCTTTTGGCCTAACATGAATACTCAAATTAGAGATATAATTTTAAATTGCCACATTTGCCAGACTTTTCAAAAAACACAGAGATCTGAACCCTTGTTATCCCATCACATTGAAAAACCGCCCTTGGTATAAAATTGGTTGTGACATATTTCATCTTGAAAATAAAGTCTTTTTAATAGCATGTGATTATTACTCAAAATTTATAGAAGGTATAGACTTACAAAAAAACAGATAACGGGACAGAGTTTTCTAGCCACATCTTTAAAAAATTTGAGCAGCTGTGGGAATTTACTCACATAACTAGTTCACCTAGATATCCGTAATCCAATGGATTTATTGAAAGACAGATTTAAACTGTCAAACAAACCTTACAGAAATGTCTTGTGGATAAAAAAGATGTTTATTTGGTTCTATTAAACCTAAGAAACACTCCTAGGTGGGGAAGTAACTCAAGCAAAAATCCTGATGAACAGAGAGTTAAGAGATCTATTACCAAATCTAAGCAATAAAAAAAAGTTGGATTTGAAAGAACTAAATACAATAAATTTTTAGATCAATGCCAAAATAAACAAATTATGTACTTTGACATGAGAGGGGTTAAAGCACTTTCAGACTTAAAAAACAAAACTAATGTTAAAGTTCAATTTCAGCCAGGGGATAAAGTATGGAAAACTGGGAAAATTTAGTGCAAAGAAAGCATAAGATCTTACAGAATAAAACTACAAAATGGGGCTGAAATAGAAATAAAAAGTTCATCAGGATTATGAATCATTGTAAGGAGCAAACTCCCACTGACATAAATAAGGAACATGTTCCAGTTAAAATAAATAATTCTTATAAAAACTGTAATGTTGCAAAGACCGCAGATAATGCTGAGCAACACATACAGCTAGAACATGATTCCGAAAAGAAGGAAAATGGCAATAATAAAAGAGAAGTCAGAAAAACTACACTTACACAATCAAGTAGAGAATCTAGAACACCAGGTTACCTAAACGAGTATGTATGTACATTACTGCCATTTTCCACCACCAAGTGATTTCATTATTTACTATTTGTTTGTTGTTTGCTTTTATTATATTGTTTGTTTTAATTTAATATTCTTGAAATGAAAGATGTGAGGTATAGGCAACACAAGTGCCTTCTACGTACATTGGGTTGCCTATACCAGACAAAGGGTGTGGACGAGCAACAAGGAATAAACAGTTCTAAACGGGATCTCGTTGTCATCATTTCGTACCTCACAACCCTGTCTCAGATAGCACAGGACGTTCCATGGACGTCCTGATTTGGTCCCTGATTGGTCCGGTTGGTCCCGGACCTAAATAGGACGTCCACTGGACTTCCTATTACAGTGAACACTAGGACGTCCTTCGAAGGACGTCCTCTGGACGTCCTATTTTAGTCCCGTTTTGACAAAGTCTTCGGTCCGAGTCTGGGACGTTAATGGGACGTCCATGGGACGTCTATGGGACTTTCTATGTACTAGCATCGTTGGTCTTTGAATCGATAACTTGAAATTCAACGTTTTGTTTTTGCAAGAGTATGAGGAAAGAAAACCTAACCTATCATTTATTTTCAAATGAACAACAACAGCTACAATTTTCGGCATTCAATAATTAACTTATATAAGTGAGTTAAGGACCGATCCACCGTTGTGTTAAACGAAGTTTAAAATGACATTTTCACATTAACAATGTCATTTTAATCTCCGTTTAACTCAACGGTGGAATCAGCCCTTAGACTAACGAAGAAAAAAGAAGGTTATATAGTGTTATTTGTTATTTTTTTGATGTTGGTGGTAAAGTGGTTATAAAGTGAGTGTTTTGTGTTGAGGTGAGAATAAGTGATGTGTATTGGCAGTAGCCCCGGGCAGAAAGAAAATACCTTAATGGCGGAAAGTTGAAACAAAACTAATTTTGACAAAATAATAAAACTCAGTTATGTTGACACAAGCTATAAGTAGGACCCAAGGTTTCATCTTACCAGTGTTAAATTTAATTCATTTCTCTTTTTTTTTTGTAAACTGAAAACGTTTAACTTTAACTAGTTTTTTCAGGATAAAAGTTGTTAAATAAAGCTCTTTTATTATAAACATTTTTGTTATTATTACCCTTAATGGATTATTGTCAAATATCGTCCCTCGGACGTCTGATTTACGTCCCTAGGACGTCCCGCAAAGGTCCGTATGACGTCCTTTTGGGATGTCCTTAAGGGTCGTCCCTAAGATGGACGGAAACGGGACATTGGGACGTTCATTGGACGTCCAATTGACGTCCCGGTACCAAAAGAGGACGTCTCTCGGGCGTCCTTTATGTCCGTGAAGGACGTCTTTTAGACGACCATAAGATGTCCGTGTGCTATGTGGGGTATTGCCTCTAATAAAAAAATATCAACAAACTTTAGCCTATTATAGCCGACATCGTTTCAGAAATTATTTTCTGATTACATTTAAAAAAACCTAAGTGGAGTTTAATTTGGAGACATTGGTGGATATATCATGAAAAAATCAGTAAAAGTTAAATCTGGGGATCTTGGTGCCTAGTTTATTTCCGTTTCTGTTACAGTAGGTAGGTAGGTAGATAGATAAGTATAAAAAATCAGACTAATTGCTTTCTAAATAATTTAACTAATACATTTTTTGTTAAGAATTGGCAACACTTTAAATTTAAGGTTATTTAAGACAATTGTTTAAGATAGTTATTTAAGGAAATATTTAAGATAGTTATTTAAGGAAATATTTAAGATAGTTATTTAAAGTAGTTATTTAAGATAGTTCTTTAAAATAGTTCCTTGAGATAGTTATTTAAGATAGTTATGTAAAATAGTTATTTAAGATAGTTATTTATCAGTTATTTATCAGGTATTTAAGATAGTTATTTATGATAGTCATCCAGATAGTTATTTAAGATAGATATTTAAAATAGTTCTTTAAGATAGTTAGTTACGAGTTATTTAAAATAGATATTTAAGATATTTATTTAAGATATTCATTTGAGATAGTTATATAAGATAGTTATTTAAGATAATTATATAAGACAGTTATTTAAGATAGTCATTTAAAATAGTTATTTAAGATAGTTATATAAGACAGTTATTTAAGATAGTTATTTAGGATAGTTATGTAAAACAGTTATTTATGATATTTATTTCAGATAGTTATTTAAGATAATTATTTAAAATAGTTATTTAAGTTATTTAAGATAGTTATTGAAAATAGTTTATTAATAGGGTCGATAAGAATAACATTGAATATATTCACCTTAGCTTCACTTTTGATTTTGTCAACCAATCCCTTTTCGGTACCGTGACCATGACCGTGATGATGTTCTTTGTGAGGAGGCTGGCGTGCAGACGCTTTGACTTCCATGAGTCTTTTTCGTCCTAAAGCTTGCAAGATTTCCTGCGCTTCGGGATAGTCTTTCATGGCGTTTAAAACGTCTTCGCGCGATAAGGAGAACAATTCCGAGTATCCTACAGAGCGTACGTCAGCTGTTCGTCTGAAAAAAAAATAATAATAATTTGAGACGATCTTTATAAAACGTATGGATAAATGCATTAAAGAAAATGATAAACATATCGAACCCTTAATTTTTTTTTCGTATATTCCTGCTCCTGCTCCTAATATTTATCATATCATATTAGACATGATTATCGAAGATGCCTATGTTATTATTTCACACAATAAAATAAATGAGAATTATGGACTGTTAACTTTTGAGGTTATTAGATTAGATTGAGAGTTGGACGTTGTTTGTCCTTGTCCACCGCGACCTTTTTAGATCTATTGTGAGACTCCGTTTGTTTTAGAGTATGTCGTCTAGTTTGGTCTTTTTTATTAGACAGTAGCTTTGAGAGTGGCTCCCGCATGTAGTTGCATGCGTTTGGCTTTTCTTCGCCAAATGTTAGAAACTTCATTCCAGCCAGGCCTTCATATTGGCACAAAACGTGAAATGATGTTTCCTCTTCTTCTTCACAGAACCTGCACAAAATTGCTTCTTTTGCTTGATTGATGACACTCATGTACCTTTTGAGGCAACTGTGTCCAGTAAGAAAGCCTACTGTTATCCTAACGATTTGACGCTTTTGATCCAGTAGGTCTTTGGTGAACTTGGCCGATGGTTCCTTGATGAACTGTTTACCCTGTTTTAGTCTTAAATTGTTGTTCTACCATTTCTGAGACTCTTTTTGCATCCATTGTTTATTGGATGCCTTGCACAATGCCTTAGTTACTCCACAAAAGAGTTCGGGGCCTGTCATGGCCTTATCTGAGCCTTTATGGGCTAATTTGTCTGCCTACTTGTTGCCCTGATATCTCTTATGGCCTGGTATCCAGGCTAGGGTCACCTTGTCTTGACTACTTAGCTCTGCCAGGCCTTCTAGACAGCCTTTCACCAGTCGTGATTTAATTTCTGGTGAAAGAATTGAATTTAGAGCTGCTTGGCTATCAAAGTAGATGGCAATAGTTTTGCCGGATACTTGCTGATTTAATATTTCTCTTGCATAGTGTTGTATGGCTATTAGGTCAGCCTGGAACACTGTTGCATATTTTCCTAAACTCAGCGGTTCATAGATTCCAGCACCGGCTCCTTCCTTGGTTTTTGAACCATCTGTATACTAGACGAGACGGTAGGTCCCTATTTATAGGAATTGAGGGCTAGTATTTAAATTTGAAAATATCTTTCAAATTTATATGTAGTTATGGCTCTAGCTCTAGGCTTATAGCTGGAATATTATTTCTTTTTACTTGATGATGTAGCCTTGTGTGGTCGGCGCTATGTAGTTGACTTATTGGGTTTTGTCCCTACATTAGCCTGTAAATAGCTGACCTGGTTTCTCCTTGTATAAAGATGTGCATTGGCGTGAGATTTAATAATACCTTCATTGCTGGAGTCGGCGTAGTGCGCATGGCCCCAGTAGCACTTAGACAGGCAAGCCGCTGAATGCCAGTGAGTTGGCATATTGCATTTGCCTGCGCAGTTTTGGTTACCCACGCCACTGCGCCATAGGCTATCATGGGTCTTATTATTATCCTTGTGTATAACCATATGGTCATTTTGGGGTCTAGACCCCAGTTTTTCCCACATATTCTTCTACAGCTTATGACAGCTATTTAAGCTTTGTATGTGGGTTTTTTGAGATGTTGATTCCACGTCAACCTTTGGTCTAATATGACTTCGTGGTATTTGGCTTTTGTGACGAATGGGATAACTATGCTGTTTAGTACTGGTGGTCTTAGTCCTGTAAATACCCGTTTTTTGGTACAACTGTTGTTTTTTTTGCGTTAATGGATAATTGTTTATTTTTGCATCAGTTGTGCAATATGTTTAGAGCTGTTCTTGAGGTTATTAACAAATATACCCTTTTTTTGTTAAACTGACGTGCCTTTAATAATTCTTAATAAAAATGGTCTTAAATTTAATAACAAAAGTTTAACGTATACTTGTGCCACAAATGTGGCTTATGTGGGGTTGTCTATAATATTGATCGTTGTAAATACGAAATTATAATTTTTCATTACTAAAAACCACAAATTTAATTTTTTTTATTATACATATTCAAAAACGTTAAAATTATTACGAAAAATAAACAATGTTAAAATTTAATTTTATGAAGGTAAATTAACTATGTACAATGAGTACTTAAGGACCACCCTGTAATCTTCCATTTACAAATATAATTTTGATATTTGCCACTTTTCTGAGACAATTGAAAATAATTTTATATCGTGGCCTTGATAGATATACAATTTCATAGAGAAAGAGATTTTCAAAAAAATAATTAGTTTGGTGGGAGTTACTTCCGACGTGCTAGTACTAAACCACCCTGTGTACAAGAGCAACCGGTATTAATATCTAGTTTATTCCGAAACGAATATTGTTAACAATTTTAGATGATCCTATATCGCATTGATCCGAAATTAACAACATACCTCGTCGAAACTACACGAGATATTATTTTGCGAGTAAACAATTCAAAATTGACCTAATTACGCCCCTTTTAAATGAATCAGTTATCGAAGTTCGCCAGAGCATCGACTTGTTTTTGTTTTCCCGATCATTTGTTGTTTTCGGATAATTTGTGTCACATTTAATAAACAGGAATTTGTATATACAGAGCGATTTATAGTTAAAGTGCAATACAACCATCATCAAATTCTCGGGGTCTATTCTGTAACAATTCCTTTATATTTAACGGCCTTTAAAAATATTGGCGACCTTTAAAAATATGTTTGTATTCGTTAATTTTCTTCTGTCATTATTTAAACAGATTTCTTTAAGATAGTCCTTTAATGTATTTTAAAGATCCGTTTAAATAATGACAGAAGTAAAGAAGAAAATATTTTTAAAGGCCGTTAAATATAAAGGAATTCTTACAGAATAGACTCCATTAACACCTAACGTCTTGAAGCTGATTTTACAGCGAAACCTCAGAACTTCACGTTTGCGGAATGGAAGATGTTCTATTCCGCAAACTTGAGGTCTTTAAAAATCGATCATCTCTTTGGTTGGTGGCCTCTTTTCCCCCGGCTACGGGCCATCTGGTTATAAGCATAAATATATAACCAAGACAGAAAGGATTTTAAGCTATTGCATAGCTTTTATCGCGGGCTTTGAGCGCGGAGACCGAATCAAGAAATTCCGTAACACCATAACGAAAAAAAACCTAACATCCCCCACTCCGACCGGCACAGCGGTGCAGCGTTAAAACAATATTAACAATTCAATAAAAGAAAATCGAAAAATCGAAAAATCGAAAAATCGAAAAATCGAAAAATCGAAAAATCGAAAAATCGAAAAATCGAAAAATCGAAAAATCGAAAAATCGAAAAATCGAAAAATCGAAAAATCGAAAAATCGAAAAATCGAAAAATCGAAAAATCGAAAAATCGAAAAATCGAAAAAGAAATTCCGTAACGAAACACCTCCCACTCCGACCGGCACAGCGGTGCGGCATTGAAAGCCGTGAATCGTCTAACGTCGTTTCAGTTCGGCAGACTTGGGCACGGTGTTTGTGTGCGTGCAACTAGACGTATGCGTGTAGACTAGCTGCTAACTGCTCATAACTGATTCTAGATCATCTAATTGGTTGGTGGCCTCTTTTTCCCCGGATCCGGGCCATCTGGTTATAAGCATAAATATATAACCAAGACAGAAAGGATTTTAAGCTATTGCATAGCTTTTATCGCGGGCTTTGAGCGCGGAGACCGAATCAAGAAATTCCGTAACACCATAACGAAAAAAAACCTAACATCCCCCACTCCGACCGGCACAGCGGTGCAGCGTTAAAACAATATTAACAATTCAATAAAAGAAAATCGAAAAATCGAAAAATCGAATAATCGAAAAATCGAAAAATTGAAAAATCGTAAAATTGAAAAATCGAAAAATCGAAAAATCGAAAAATCGAAAAATCGAAAAATCGAAAAATCGAAAAATCGTAAAATCGAAAAATCGAAAAATCGAAAAATCGAAAAATCGAAAAATCGAAAAATCGAAAAATCGAAAAATCGAAAAATCGAAAAATCGAAAAATCGAAAAATCGAAAAATCGAAAAATCGAAAAATCGAAAAATCGAAAAATCGAAAAATCGAAAAATCGAAAAATCGAAAAATCGAAAAATCGAAAAATCGAAAAATCAAAAAATCGAAAAATCGAAAAATTAAAAAATCGTAAAATCGTAAAATTGAAAAATCGAAAAATCGAAAAATCGAAAAATCGAAAAATCGAAAAATCGAAAAATCGAAAAATCGAAAAATCGAAAAATCGAAAAATCGAAAAATCGAAAAATCGAAAAATCGAAAAATCGAAAAATCGAAAAATCGAAAAATCGAAAAATCGAAAAATCGAAAAATCGAAAAATCGAAAAATCGAAAAATCGAAAAATCGAAAAATCGAAAAATCGAAAAATCGAAAAATCGAAAAATCGAAAAATCGAAAAATCGAAAAATCGAAAAATCGAAAAATCGAAAAATCGAAAAATCGAAAAATCGAAAAATCGAAAAATCGAAAAATCGAAAAATCGAAAAATCGAAAAATCGAAAAATCGAAAAATCGAAAAATCGAAAAATCGAAAAATCGAAAAATCGAAAAATCGAAAAATCGAATAATCGAAAAATCGAAAAATCGAAAAATCGAAAAATCGAAAAATCGAAAAATCGAAAAATCGAAAAATCGAAAAATCGAAAAATCGAAAAATCGAAAAATCGAAAAATCGAAAAATCGAAAAATCGAAAAATCGAAAAATCGAAAAATCGAAAAATCGAAAAATCGAAAAATCGAAAAATCGAAAAATCGAAAAATCGAAAAATCAAAAAATCGAAAAATCGAAGAATCGAAAAAATTGAAAAAGAAATTCCGTAACGAAAATAAACCTAACACCCCCCCTCCGACTGGCACAGCGGTGCGGCGTTGAAAGCCGTACATCGTCTAACGTCGTTTTAGTTCGGCAGACTTCGGCACGATGTTTGTGTGCGTGCGACTAGACGTATGCGTGTAGACTAGCTGCTAACTGCTCATAACTGATTCTATCTCTTTTAGACACAATTTCGGAAAAATTGAATTTGAAAATGAATAATGATCCACAAGAATCGAATAATGATCTACAAGAATCCACAAAAAAATATGGGACCACCATTGACGCGGTATTTTCCAGATATTTATAGGATATCAAGTCTCATATGCTTCTTATTTCAGTTACCATAAACCTATAGTTTGAATAATAAAAATTCCTGAATAACCTACATGTATTGTAAAATAATAAAAATATTTTAAACAATATTAACTTGTCATTTATTCAATGAAAGAAAATTTCTTATCGGTCACCACGCTCAAAAAGTGTAACTTGAATTAATACCAAAGTAAAAACTTGAATTAATATCAAAGAAAAAAAATTCTGCATAAATAAAATTAATAAATAATTATAATTGCATAAGTTAATAAAAAATGTTATGCAATAGCTTTACCGCGGCAGTCCCCGAGTGCCACACGTATTTTTTACAAAAGTTCTGGAAGCCTCAACGTCCGTGGCAGAAATACAATAATCAGATTAAACATTAATGCCAAGTTTACGGTGTTTTTAACAGTAGTAATGTAAATACTTTAGCTTGCCATACTGTTTGTCTTTAACTCATTGAAATAAATTTTATGTCTGGCAAAAGTGCATTTACGTTTGACGATATTTGCATAGAAAGTTAGTTGTAAATTTATTTCATTCCTAAAAGTGCTTTGTTTTGGTTGGTTGCAGCTATTAATTTGTGAAAACTGTTTTTTATCAGTTTTTTGATTATTTACAGTGAGCACCATAAGTATTACCCCCCTATCTACTCGTTACTGGAGTCTTGTTAGGAAAATCGCCGAGACAGGTCGATTTTTGATTTCTACAATGTACATTTTTGTATGAATAGTTTACCCTTAATTTCATCCCTTACTGGAGGGGAGCAACCCTTTTGAAAAATTTAAATGGCATGGGGTGGTGAGTGATAGCTAACTAATCATGCAAAAATGTACATTGTAGAAATTAAAAGTCTCGGCGATTTTCCTAACAAGACCCCAGTAACGAGTTAGTTAGGGGGGGTAAGACTTAAGATGCTCACTGTATATCATTAATTAGGGGATACCTATTATCAAGATGATTCAACAGTGTTTTGCTTGTAAAACAAAAACAAACTATTTACATTAGTTAGTTAGTCTCTCGTTCCACAGGTAAGTTGATTTTTAGGTTATGTTTATGAATACGAATGAATGTTATAGACTTCATTGGCGCAGAAAAATTAACTCAAAACCTGTTTAGGTACAGTAATTTATTTGTAGATTTATAGGTAACGATTTACTTTAAAAATGTTTAGTTTTAATTATAAATTATAATTGTGAAGAATCTGATAAGCTGCGATAATTCTTTGCAACGATGTCAGATTTGTATGATTCGTTTTTTGTTACAAATGTTATTTCCTGTTTTTAATTATCTAATTTTTCTCTAATTACGTACTTTGTTTGATAACATTTTTCTAAGATTTCTAATGTTTTTTTTTATTAATTTCCCGCTTCAACCTTAAAAATGTTATTTGCGGAGGAACTTTGTTGATCTAGCTTTTTACAATAAATTAAGGTTTCAGAAAAAGGAACAAATACATTTAAAATAATAATATTAGATAAGGTCCAGTTGGCTAAATTTGGTTAAGTAGGTTGCACTGTTGTATAAATTTTATTACATTGTCAATATTCTTGGAGCACAAAATTTTCACTATGTTATTACCACGTAATATCTCTTCTCTTTCTACAAAATATAGAGGACAGTGTACCTAATAATATATGTTCGACGGATAGCTGCACTTCACACATTTCACATCTAGTAGGTTCTTGCCTATTGAAAATATACTGATGTGTGATCCGAGTATGTCCAATTCTAAGTCTAGATATAATTATTTGATGTTTTCTTCTATTTAACGATTTCTATATGAGGATTATTTTTCTTTTAATTTATTAGTTCTGCACGATTCCCATCTTGCTTTCCAGTTGTTATTTACTAAATATCTCTTTTTTGTTAGATTTTATGGCTTCGTCGCAGTTTTTGTTCCACCAAGGAACAGGATTACGTTTGATTGTTTTTGTTTTACCTATCGATTCTTCTGCGGCCCTATTAATTATTGCTGTGAAATTTTCAACTATGGAATTAATCTCAGTGTCTAAAGTCAAATCATCATGGGATAAGTAGTAATCTATCAAATCAGAGAATTTTTTCCAGTTGTCACTACTGGCACTTTTCAGTTTCCATTTTCTAATTGATGGTTTAGACGGTTCGCTATAAAAATTTGAGTAAATAACGATAGGACAGTGGTCACTGTCATAAGTATGGCGAAACTTCCCAGGATAGAACTGGGAAAGTTTTAGAATCAAAAAGGGAGAGATCTATAGCTGAGTGGTTATTTCTAGTTGGATTGATTCTTGTTATTTCACCGGTGTTCAGCAATATAAAATCTAAAGAGTTGATAAAGTTTTCCAGACTTCTTCCTTTAGCATCGGTTTTTGGACTGCCCCAGATAGTATTGTGCATATTTAAATCTTCTACTAGAATGTACGGTTTAGGGAGTTGGCGAACAAGGTGTTCAAGTTGTATTGATGTGACTGCTTTGTTTTCCGGTATGTATATATTACATATGCTTACTTTGAGTTGCATATTTACTTTCACACATATAGCTTCAAAGTCACTAATTAAAGGTAATTCTTCGGCGTCTACGTTTTCTTTGACGTATATTATGACATCCCCACTTGCTCTTTGTTTATCAGTCCTATTTCGATGGTATTGTTGATATTGTTTTAGTGTATAGACTTGGTTTGTTTGAAAATTGGTTTCTTGAAGACACAATACGATTGGATCAATTTTTTTTAACAGAATTTGTAACATTTCTAGACGGGCAAAAACCCCGTTTATGTTCCATTGTAAAATGAATTCTTTAATTAAAATGGGAAAGTAAAGTAAATAAGAAAAAGGGAAAAATTTAATATGTTTCTTGTGAACTTGAGTCTCTATCGTCATCAGATGGGTATATGGTTAAGGTTTTTGATTCTTGTAATTGAGTACGCAGTTTTTTTATTATTCTGGTTATGCGGCCTTTGGTGGTTCTGTCTGTTATTTTTGTATATTATAATGTTGAACCTATCGTATATGTCTTTAAAATTTGTAGTGTAACTCTTTATTACAACTAGCGGATCCGGATTTCCAAGAATGTTTCCCATTAAATCTGTGATCTGATCAAAATCTAAAATAAATTTCGGTTCAGCATTTTCAATAAATTTCTTGACTGGAGCAAGAAGTAGGAGAAGAGATTAATTTGTCAGCGGAATTTTTCTTATATTTTTTTGATAGCTTCGGTTTTGGAAATTAATTGAATGAGCTTCCATCAGTAGGATTAGTCGTAGCGGATAAAAGAACAGCGCTAGATCGTTTCTGGGAACTATTTTCGTTCGTTTCCATTTCGGGTATTATTTGTTCTGTAATTTCGGATTCTTGTTGGCTGGTGTCGATACCATATGTGTAGTGGTAGTGGTTCACTGTGGGTGGGGAAGTTGGATTTAGATGTAGTAGGGAGATTATTTTTTTATGCTAGGAGAAAAACGTATGTTTTGTGATAGTGATGGGCTTTTTGAGGATTCTTCTGTTATGGTAGGCTGTTTGTTTGTACTTGGTTGAGAGATTGAATTTTGGGGAAGCAGTACTGGATTGTTTTGACAATTGAAGGCAACGTGGCTTTCTCCTTGCATTTAAAGCAGCTAAGATTAGTAGAAAGAAAAATTCTATAGGAAGTATCTTCGTAGTCTATGATTATTAAATCGGGAATAACAATATTATCATTAGGAGACAGATATGTTTATCTGCGGAAACTAAGTATGTGGCCATATGCGGGATTCGATATACCATATTTTAAAAAACTAATTGAACAAGTGGCTTAAGTCCAATGTCTTTAAGGTTTTTTCCAAAATCTCGTGAGGTATCGTTGGGCAGACATTAGACAGGAGTAAACGTGTTGTTGGGGTGACAAGTTTTCGTCCATAGATTAGTGTTCCATTATTATTAATTGATCCGTGATTAGCTAGGAAATCATCAACATATTCCTAATTGGTAAGGTATGCACATATTCTGCCATTGGATATTTTTGAACAAAATATTATTTTCTTAGGTTGGACTAATGCTCCAAGTGTAAGTATGTAGTCTTGGATTTTAATATTTTCGATAGATGGAAACAAAATGCCTTGTTCTTTAGTTGGATATGAAAAACGAGTGACGATGCTTGAGTACGGGACATTGGTATTGGAATTACTTTGGTTGCTTCTGTTGTCAGGGGCGGCTATTTGATTTCCATCCATATCTGTTCGTTTTACCCAGAACAAATAATTTCGACTCTATTCATATTTTTCAGCCTGAATATGGACCTGCCGAATCTATACAATATTCAAGTACAATATTGCAATCGGTATGTTTTTATGGAATAGATAAAGACTAGCAAAAAATGACTTATATTTTCGGTAAATCTCACTAATTCACCTACTCTTTAACTTTAGATTTTGTGATACGAAAAGGCAGGATATCAAAAAACACGTCTGAACTCTGTCGCCATTAGACACGGAATAGATTTCTAATGTTACTTGCAGTTTTCATCTAATTTTTCTTTAATCACATACTTTTATAACATTTTTTGAAACCTTCTATTGTTATTTGCTATTTTCTTCTTATTTTTCTCTATATCTATTTTTTGTATAATTTTTTTGAGATTTTTTTAAGAAGAAGAATTATGTTTATGCAAGAACTTCTACTTGTAGAATAAGATAATTGAATATAATATTTATTAAATGTTTCCACAAAAAACTTAATAAAAATCTACATGAAAGTTATAGATATCGCACACCTATTTTAAAAAACGTCTCTGTCAGTCGAACATAAAAAAAACAAAGTGAGAACCTTCTTCCAAATCGACTTACTTGTTCAATCCGTCCAAATTCAGGATTCCGATTTCTCCAAAAAAATCACCGGCTTTCATCGTCGTGAGCACTTTGCCGTGCTCGCTGATAACCTCAAGGATTCCGTCGGCGATGATGAACATCTCTCTCGCCACTTCACCTTTCCTGCATATCGAATCGCCCGGCGTGAATATGTAGGCCTTCATTTTCAGGACCAAATCTCTCAGGAATTCCGGTTGGCACTCTTGGAATATTGTTACCTGGAAACGAATGACAATTTTAAATAAGTATAATTGTACGGAAACGTAGAAGGACCACTAAATTAATTTTTTTCGAATTAGAACTCGGTAAAATAGATTATTCCTAGTTATAATTCGGAAAAATACATTATTCAGACTTAGAAATTACAAAATTCGATTTTTCCGACTTGGACTTGGGAAAAATCGATTTTTATGTTTTAGAACTTGGAAAAATAGATTATTATAGAATTCAGAGAAATCTATTTTTCGAGTTCTAAAACAGAAAAATATATTTTTCCAATTTTTCAGACAGAAATATAAAAAATATATTCTATAGCTTTTTTTACGCTTCCATAAAAATGCATCTGGCAACACTGCAATCCGCCCTAGATTGTAACAAAAAGTATTTTAACTTACTTTTTTCAAAACGGTTAAATTGACATGTAAGGCTAGCTCAGTTTTGAGTTTATCTGGAAGCAGACCGAGAGCTGTATTGATGTCTCCTCCTCCTTGTATTCGTCCTCTGGACCACGAGTAATCGTACCACCTCAACACTCTCCGCTTCATTCCACCAGGCACCTAAATATACAGAAATTACATTTTTAGTATCGTTTAACCGGATTTACCTTCTATATTATACGAAAAATAAAAAACAACACCAGTATTATTCATAATACATCCCCTGTAGTATTGTTACTGAGATTCAAGAAATGCCCTTGAGTTACGCTCTGCCAAGCGCAGAGTCATATGGCGCTAGTATCGTTTTGAATTTTGACATCTGACATCGGCACGTTTATTGGTTAAAGAAGTGTCAGTATTGACAAGTGATAATTTTTTAAATTTTTTCTGCTACGAAATTTATACCATTTATTAATATTAATTTTGTTCCAGCGATATTTATTGTGATTTGTGTTATTGTATTAAGTGCTTACTTATTTAATATGGAAATCAAAACGTACAACAAACACAGAAAAAGAGTATTCAAGAAGGGATTCCTATGGTTGCCATCCAAGGGTCCTCGCCCTAGATAATACTTTTCCGGTGAGAAAAGCCTTTAAAATTCAAGTATAACAGTTTTATGTTTTAGTTTTCCCTTCTTTCGACTTAGGTGCCAATTTCGACGTAAGTTTGTAATATTTTTTAGTTAATAACCTCTAATATTATAATTTAACTAAGATCTTACGTTTTCCTATGGACACGATTCAAGGAAGGAGTCCTATGGCTATCATACAAGCCCTATACAGGGTGTAACTAAATAAGCGTAAAACATTTAAGGGGGTGATTCCTCTTTGAAAAAAAGATAGGATCTTTCATATAAAGAAACTTCATTGGAGCATCCCTTGTTAAGATACAGCCCCTTAAAGGGGGGTACATAAAATTTGTTTAACAATTTTTTTCACAAGCACTAAACAAGTTACAATATTGAAATTAACCTGACATTTTCTACTACCAAAAAGACACTTAGCCAGTAATTTATTTGGTTTACCCCATGGTTGTAAGGGGTGGAAAACGCAACCCCTAAAATTTCGTTCCAACGTAACTTTTTGTCTTATTATTTGTTTACCATTTAAAATTGTATTTCCGATAGCCTGTTTCATTCTAAACAAAAAATGTCTCCTGAATTTTTTGCCTAAAATAAACCAGTTTGCAGCAAAAAATTATTTTACGAACAAGATAGATATCGCCATAAAACGAAAATACGAAACTAATTTATCTAGTAGGCCGCTATTAGCGATACTGACAATTACATTGAAATCAAGCTGTCAGTTGGTAAATTTTTGAAATTGAAGTAATACTAATTGTGTATTGTTGTTCTGTTCGTAATTTGTTACTTTAATAATTCACTTGTTATTAAAATGGCATACACAAATGAGGAAATGGCTGATATGCATTACGTTTACGGTCTGTCGCAGGGGAATGGGTTAGAAGCTTCTAGAAGATATGCTGAAATGTATCCTCAACGGCAGCATTCTTCACATAGAATATTTGCCCGACTTGGGGCCATTTGCAGCATTTGGTTTATCGTACTCCTGTTCGTTATGTAGAGGACTTAACAAACCGTATTATCGATGCGTTAAGGGTAATTAGAGAGACTCCAGGATTATTTGAGCGAATACGTTGCTTAATGCGCCGACGTCTAGACGCATGCGTAATGTCTGAAGGTTGACATATTGAACATTTACTATGATTTCTACATGTTGTATGTTTTGTTATTAATAAATTAGTTTTGATCATTCCCCTTTTTAATCACTTATTGCAGGTAGTAACTACAAAATAACAATAAATCCAGTTCGCATTTATAACGATGTATCTCTGTAGTTGTTCGTAAAATAATTTTTTGTTCCGAACTGGTTTATTTTGGACAAAAAATTTAAGAGACATTTTTTGTTTAGAATGAAACAGGCTGTCGGAAATTAAATTTTAAATGGTAAACAAATAATAAGAGAAAAAGTTACGTTGGAACGAAATTTAACGGGTTGCGTTTTCCATCCCTTACAACCATGGGGTAAACCAAATAAATTACTGGCTAAGTGTCTTTTTGGTAGTAGAAAATGACAGGTTAATTTCAATATTGTAACTTGTTTAGTGCTTGTGAAAAAAATTGTTAAACAAATTTTATGTACCCCCTTTAAGGGGCTGTATCTTAACAAGGGATGCTCCAATGAAGTTTCTTTATATAGAAGATCCTAGATTTTTTTCGATGAGGAATCACCCCCCTTAAATGTTTTACACTTATTTAGTTACACCCTGTATAATCGTTTTCCAGTGGTAACAGCCATTAAAATTCAAGTATAATAATTTACTGTTGCAGATTTTCTCCTTTTTCGAAGTAGGTGTTTATTTAAACTACAAATTTTTATTTCACTTGTTGATTTTAGCATTTATATACAGTATCGGTCATTGAACACTTTCTAGCATCGAAGCGAAAACTAAAGAATTAGCATTAGTGCGATCAGGAAACGAATAATATGAATGTTGCCTTGTATGCTGAGTAATACGAACATACACACGGCGCGATACATCCCTACGAAGCCGGCTGGTTACGTTCATGGTATTCCATTCCGTCTCGCCCTAATGCTAACTCTTTGTACTTCTCACTTGGACATTAGCAAAACGTATTGAAAACATTCAATATCATAAACATCTCTTAATAACTAACGAATGATGACATTTAATAGTGTTTCATTTTTTTTTTTTTTTTTTTTTTTTTTTCGTAAAATGGATATGACTAGAGTTAACCTCGATTTTAAAATAAATTAAATAAGTTTTATAATTTTCCAAATAAAATATTTTATACAATTATTTTTTTACCGGAGTTCATTTTTTTCAGATCTAACCTCTATATTAATTAATAAATATTTCTTCACTCATAGTTTGCATCTTATTACCTATACCCTGTCATAAGTTTATCCAAGAATTTTTTGTTATTACTTACCACCACCTGTAGAGGCCTTAACTTGACAGGTCTCCTTTCAAAAATGTTAGGTTAAGTAACACTACTAATTATTTTTAAAAAACAACAATGTGTTTAAAATAAGCCTTATCTTTTAATCTGTTTAATGTATGTGTTTTGTTTTGTATAGTCTTGAAAATTTTAAATTTTTAACTATTTAAACTGACTAATATTTGTTTTTCAAATATTTTTAACTTTTAAATAACTTGTAACATTGTTTATTTTACAATTTATTTCATCCCCCACATTTGATGAAACTTGTGTGTAGTATTCCCTAGTGGATGGAGAGTATGGTGAGTTTTCTTTTTTACTATTTTATATATCGTTGGCTCAAAGTTAACAAACCTTACACCACATATTCTCCTTTCCACTAGGTGAGCCTGAAGATGAAGTGATGATACTTCGAAACCGGTCGCACTCAATGTTTTATTGAATAATTAAACATTAACTTTCCTTGTGAGATATAAAGGACTTTTTCTCCCCCTTCACCTTAAAATTACCTCAACTTACACATGGCTACCCCCCTTGTCAACGAAATGTATTACTTTATCCTTCACTCCAAGTTGTCTGTTTATTCTTCTATGTAAGAGCCAAGAATTGATAACCGCGACATCTACCATATGATAACATATCCTATGATACCATTTTCGGCTTTTCAATTTTATTGGGTAAAGTCCTACTAGCGAGTCTTGTAAGTCAACGCCACCCATATGGCGATTATATTGTTTGACTATGCCAGAGCATTCTATCTTCTTCTTGGTGTTTTCAGATTTGAAAAATCTCTTTACGTTTGTGACCGGATAAGTTCCACAGTAGTCAGAAATGAGTGTAACAATTTTGTTGTCATAGCATTTCACACTATGGATGTCAACACCATCAAATTTAATGGTCTCTGATTTATTGTTCTTCTTCCTTTATGATTCATTACTTTTTCTTATAGATCCTGGTAATTTGGTAATTTATTCACACGAACTGTAGCAACAGAATGAATTTTGCGTTTTGCCAGGTGTGACATAAGTGCCAAGGAAGAAAAGTAATTATCATAAAAAAGTTTATGGTGTATATCAGGTGAAATAGGTCTACTCAGACGAAGGACCACATTACTTGAAGCACCCAAATCAGGTTTATTTTTGTCCAGTATAACCTTGTTTTCCCGAGAACAATTCGAAATTATAAGACATTCCGGAAATTCCACTAAGAACCCACATCTTGTAACCCCATTTATTGGGATTATTAGGGTTATAAGTTTTTATGTTTATTCTACCCTTAAATTTAATTATTTGTTCATCACATGACAGGTGTTCTTCGAAAGGTAAAGCCAAGCAAGCTTTCCTAATAGTTTTTATTGCTGGCATAATTTTATCCAAGATACTTTTATTTTCTGTATTGTTGCTAAAGTGTAAGAAACTTTTGATCAATTCAAAACGATTCACTCGCATGACATCGGCAATTTGTGAAATCCTGGTTTGAGGAGACCAAAAGCGTCTAGTAGTGGGTTGTCTAATTATTGACATCCATAGAATTACTCCTATAAATCTTTGAATTTCCTTGGTCTATTGGGCCGTATCTGAACACTATATATTATATACAAATGTCTGGCGAACGACTTCAGTCAAAAATTCTTCTGACAAAAAGTAAGAAGACACCTTGTATGGAGTATTTAATCTCAAAATTTCTTCAGGAAGTAACTCACTTCCTAGAAATTCAGAATTGACCTCCATTCTTTCAGTCATTGATTTTTTCCAATTGATCTTTGGTTTAGTAGCTGCCGGTTGTCTTTTAGGAAATGCTTTGTTATTTTGAGGTCCTTGGGATCTTTTATTAGGTACTTGGGTTCGAGGTGCTCGGGTTCGGGGTGCTCGGGTTCGAGGTTCTTGAGTTCTTCGAGTTCCTAGGGTCATTCGAGGTGTTTGGGTTTTTATTTTTTCGGACGATTCTCATCTTCTTCTGAAGACTTGTCTTCTTCTTCTGAAGACTTGTCGTCTTCTTCTGAAGACTTAACGTCTTCCTCAGAAGACTTATCTTCTTCTGAAGACTTGTTATCTATAGAAGACTCTTCTTCAGCAATGATATTTTTTCTTCAGCGGATTCATTATTTTTACAGCATGAATTATTGATACAGGGA